TTAACAAGAAAATGTATGTTTTTACTTGTTTATATATTCAAAATATATTCCAAGTGCATCACTCAAATGTACCAGGGAGGAGGAAGTATGGAATTACCAAAGCTTTCCCAGTTTGGCAGCCTGAGCACAGAATCTATTCATCTGGTGTTGACTTTCTTTGTGAAAAAGAAGTTTTGCATCTTCAGAAAACAAGAGCGTAAAAATACCTGGGTAGGTAATTGGTCTCCCATGTAATCCACTGAAATTAGTAGAAATTTTTTTTTTTGACTCCCCTGGAGTTTGGATTAGCTCTTAAATGCTTCCATAATAATTGTTTTTTAACACAGTTAATTCTTGGAAAAATACTGCTGTGATTCACTGGTTCTTTGCTGGACACACGGAGCTGGTGCTACTGTGCTGGGTACAAGGGCTGAACCAGAACGTACCGAGAGAAATAATAATACTGCAAGCTATGTCTCAGCATAATCTCTGCTGTCACATGTCATGCCTTGCCTGCCATCAGTCCATCTTACAAACCCAGAGGCCCAACCAGTGTTTACAGAATTAGCTCAGGTCAGCTTTTCACTTACCAGCAGCGATTTACAAAGAAGCCTGAAAACAGTTGGGGTGCTTATTTCTAGTCTCAACATATTTTGCTGTGAAAATAGCCAAACATGGGATCAGCCTAAGTTTAAGTTTTATGCTGGTGTGTCATTTGCTTTAGAAGTTTGGGTACCCTGGGGTGTTCAATCAGGACCACAAGCTTTTCTGTCCAACATTACTTTTTTAGTACTTGTTTCAACCATATTGCTCCGAGTTCTTGACATCAACAGCTACACCTTTTCATCCCTGCATCTTGATGTTTCCAAGTTCTATATCTGAAAAGTACACTTCAGGACACGTCAAAACAAGTACCCAGTATTTGTTGACATTTTATCTCCATCTTTCCCATATTTTTTGATCTGATACCCGGCTACTTCACACCTGAGCACATGTATCCATCCTGTTTTCTTTTGACCATCCCTGTCGTTACAAAACTATGCCAGTCCTGTCTCCTCTTGCGTCACCATCAGGCCACAACAGAGTCAGTTTGGAGAGACAAAAGACTTCAGAGAGCTCAGAGCCCTATCTCTATCAGATAGTGCAGCATTCAGATCCTGCACAGATAGGCAAGGCCAAACTTTCAAAGATGCTGATCTTACTTGCATATTTGAGACAGGTGTGGTGAAGCTCCTGATAACCACTAACTTGAGATATTGCTTGTTTTGGCTGGATCACCTTAATTGTCCTGTACATTTTGGTGTCCTGCTTAATTTCTTGCGAATCTGTTGTCTGTCTCCATCCCACAGCTCACAACTCCATTCCAACCTTTCCTTTCCCAAAGGACTATGCCAGAGGGAGTGTCTGATGATCCTCATCCACTGTAGCTCCAATTAACTGCCACACTCACCATGCCCAGAGTTATTCTGCAAATTTTGAGCCATGTGTTAAGTTAGGTCGGAATTTTTTAACAGTGTTTGTGCCTCCAAAATGTGATACTACTTCCAAGAATGAGGAGAGGCACACATTTACACATGCACCACCTGTGAGTGACTTTGGATTGTTTTTTAAGGAGAGGAAGTCCGCTGTTTTCCCACAGCTAAGGCACACAGCCTGACAGCAAAATTATTTTTCAAGGGTGTTCTTCCTTTTCCTATTTTACAACCTTTGATTGCACATCCAGAGCTTTGGCTTCCTCTCCAAGCAGCTGCCTTGCCAAGGCATTTGAATTGTGAGCTGGAATTTCCAATGTTTGCAATTAGGATCTGGGCTAAAACCATTCACCAAAGCCTTTGGGTAGTAGTGAGTTGTAAGAACTGTGGACCTGGAACAAACATGAGTTCAGGTTCTGTGGGCAAAAGGGCTCTGAATCGAATCCAGCAAATATTCATAATGCTTGGTGACTTTTAAGGGAGCATATAACATGTAATGGCTGACAAACAGCTGGGTCTAAGTCCTTCAAGAATGATCAAAACATTCTTATGTATGTTGTGTCAATGGGGATCATGGATTTTATAGATCTACTGGAGAAACTACAGTCACATTCAAAGAGCCGCTGCAATTCTCTCAACTGTTTCACTGAACACTTAAAATACCACTTCCCCCATCCCTTTTTTTTTCCCTTAACACTACCCTTCACTCTCCCCCTTCAAACTCCTCAGGTAATTAACTGGAAATGACCCAGTTGCAGTATTGTCAAAGGTCTAACACCCATCAAACCCAGGAAACTCAGGCTCCTTGAGCGCTCCTCTGCTTACCCCGTGCTGTTGTGCTGAAGGTATTACTGGGGTCTACAAAAAGTGCTCGATCCTATATACTGTACCATATGTTCCCAAATACCAACACACAGCAGTATGACTTAGGGATAGGATTTCAGCCTTCATAATGAAGAGTCTTGCTTTTATGAGTTCGAGTCAGACCCTTAACGTTATTTTAACATAGATTTTGGTGTTTAATTATGTAATAAGATTTACTGCAGTCATCTAACAGATGTTGATTCAGGGTCAGTGTTTCTCATAAATTAGTTCTGAAAGGATTTGTTACTTCTGGGTCAGCAGATAGGTCCAGAGTGCAAAGAAAAAGGGGAAAAACAATAAACACTGAGTTGAAGGGTTTCTTGGGATTCTTTCTTCAGTTACATATCCACATATTTTCATGATCTTAATGACTATAGCCACAGGAATGTTTGCTTTAACACTAAAGATGGCTCAGGCCAAAACCCTATATCCCAACATCTGCAAAGCATGGGAAAGTTCAAACTTCGGGGCTCTTTATTTTATGACCCTGGCTGTTAATTTTTCATACTAATATGACACATTTTTTCTAAGGCTCTGCAGAGGAAACCTCTGTGAACTCTAGCAGCACCCCAAAAAGTTTCATCTTCATGTGCTTATTGTCAGACCTTGTGTAGAAAGTGCAGCTAAAGACCAGTGTTGGCTGATGTAGTTGTCATCACACATATACACTGAAAAGGTGCACCCACCTGCTTTTGGAAATTTAGCCTTCCCACGTCTTTGGAAGCAAATCACATTGGTACATCCTACTGCTAACACCCTGCCTGTGGTGTTATCTGTAATACAACTAAAACCACACAGCATTATAGTCATTCTTCTGTAGTTGTGGTTAAAGGAGCTATTTTATATTAGAGTGTTTTTCCCTCCCCCCTATAATTTAGGTGCAGACAAATTCCTTTGACTGAAATCACACTCTTAGTATCTTATTCTACTAGGAGTAGTTTGGAGGAAAGGGATTGAGGCAAATTTAATAGTTTTGCTAGCACTTCCAGGGCGGTTTTTAGCCTGCCAAATGTTTTACAGACACTGGTGAATATTCACAATATTCTCCCATGTCAGAGTATGAGACATTGAACGATCTCCGTGAGGCTTACGAGATGTTTTAGCTAGAGGTGTAACTGCCCAACCTACAAAACCATTTGCTGAACTTAATCACCTTTGTCTTGGAAAGTGTAGAGGTTTCATACCTAAAAAACTCTCTAAGATGAATCCCAGCTATGAGTAAGAGCTCTGAAGTATTTCCCTGAACAGCAATCACACAGTGGCAAACTGTGAGCCCTGGACTCCTCACAGAAGGGATGGGAGAGAGGAGGAAGAGTCCATGGCCAGCAGCTGAATCTTGGCTAGCAAAGCAGTGCTGAACCTGCTCCATGCTTGGACACAGCCTGGTTCCCAGAGCCTCCCCACACTCTGTCCCTGACACAGGGGAGATCCCCACGAGGTGCTGATGTACATTTGTACCGTGCAGCGCTGTAAATTTAAATAACACTTTCCAGACTCTTGCTTGAAACTCCTTTTTTTCAGGAGTAATTCCCTTTAAGTCAATGGATTTACACAATGGATTTACTGCTGCCAGAAGAGAATCAGGCCTGTAGAAAGACGAGCATTCTTTGCCAAGGAAATCTCAGAGCTAACTACTTGAATTGTGCAGTCAAGCTGCAGAGAGGTCAAGTGGACAGACGACAGGACTGGGACATATAGGAAGTCTCTGGTTCAAACCTCAGCTCTTAAAATGTCATGCAGTGTGACCTTGGGCGAGTCAGTTCATTCCCTTATACCTCCGTTTCCCCCTTTTCCTTTGTCCGACTTGTCTATTTAATTTGGAATTTGTCCCAAGAAGGGTGATTTGCGTCATGTGTCGGGCTGGGGCACTGACACCTCGCCTCCCCCTTGCTGGAGGACTGTCTTGAAGTCTTTGTTTCCTCCCAGCACTGACCCCCCGCTTCCGTATCCACAAGCACGAGACCATCAGCTGTCCGTCAGGGGACAGGCAGGCCTGTCACTCGGAGGGATAACACACCATCCCCACACTGTCCTGGGCGGATTCTGGCACTCCTTGTTATTTCACAGTCAGGGTTGGGAGGTGAAAGAAGGTCCTTACTTTGAACATTTGCCTCACAACCCTAAGCACTAAAGATCCTTTAACATGAAAGCTTTGACCCTTCGGAGCGGAGCCGTGAGCTTGTGATGAATTCAGCTGGCACCAAATGTGGGTCGCAGGCATGAAAAGCCTCAAGGACTGGAATCTGTGTATGTATGTGTGTGGGTATGTGTGTATGCCTGTGTAATTTTCAGAAGCAGAGCCAGGCCAAGAACCTGCACTCCTGAAAAGCCCCATCTGTTTCTTTCAGCTCCTTCCCACAGCAGCTTGGTTGTTATTGGTGGCAAATGTCCAGAGTCACTTGTCAAGCACAAAGCTGCCAAAAATCATTAAAACACAACAGTCCCCCACACCCTGTACCAGCCAGCTGTAAAACTGTTTCAAAGGGATTCTGATAAACACATATATGCTTATAATAGCCCAGATAAAGTCATGTATTTCCTACGTGCTTTAATGAACCGAGTGACAGCGTGAGATGCTGCAATCAGATATTCTTGCCCTTTGCTGTTGTGGCAACTCTCAAGCGTGTTTGATGGCGAGGGGAAAGGGAACAAAGCAGGTGGCTAATGGGCTGTTTTCTGTTTCAGTGGAGCATGACAGAGAGTTTCACCATCAGCGCTGCCACTACCGAGAGTTCAGGTTTGATCTCTCCAGAATCCCAGAGGGGGAAGCGGTGACGGCTGCCGAGTTCCGGATATACAAGGATTACATCCGCGAACGCTTCGACAACGAAACCTTCCAGATTAGCGTCTACCAGGTCCTCCAGGAGCACCCGGGAAGGTGAGTGACCCACAGGGAAAACCTGATGAGAGCACAAGCACAGTGTGTTCCTTCGGGGAGTTATGTCTAATATTGTTAGAAATACTGGTGCCATCAGCAAAAGCACCTGGGTTTGGCATCAGGTTCGTACAGTGAAATCTCAGCACGCAGCTGCCACATGGGGTGACATGGGGAGAGGTCTCTGTGAGCCTCCACGTGCCCCAGGGAGCATCCCCAGCACTCTCACCCCTGTGAGTACTCAGTAGCTGAGGAGCCAACAAGCCTGGCCATGTGCTAGTGCAGGAAAACATCATAAACTCAAAAGTATTTCAAGATTCCTGGAAGTCCTCCCCGCTTCCTCCTGCTGCTTATGGATCCTGAAGTGACAAAACCAAATGCTTCCTCTGGAATTGTAGCTTAATTGCTAGCCTTTATTATCAAAGGCATTCGAGATCCCTAATTAACAAAGACAGATGACACCATGCTTTTTATACTGACTGATTGTTTTGCATGTGCAAAACTACAAGATGAGCTATTAAATCCATTCCAAGCAATTATTAATGTATGCCAAGCTCCCTGACAAATCCTCCCGGGAACTTGAATAAGAACATATGTTCAATTTTCTCATCTGTTTTTAGTTCCAATTAATCAGCAATCCCAAACCATCTATCCAAGGCACTTAGTTTCATTTGCACATATTTCTTTTACATACAAGTCCTACCAAAACTGAGATTGCATTTATTTACATGAAAAGTATTTACAGTCACATTCTAGTCAAAAGTTATTCTTTAGGACTACTAAATATGGGCTAATAATACTACAGTCCTAATTTAGGTTTATGAAAAGGGGAAAGCCCAAAAGGGTAAGAAAAAAGTGGAATCAGGACTCTGGCTTTATGGTTTTATAAGCACTAATAAAAATGCGGAAAAAAAATGAAGTATGACAGGAAACTTTATCAATGTTTTTTTAAATGGTGAGGATTTCTGCTGGCTTTGCTGCATGGTAAAAATATTTAACCACTGGTGTGTTTTCTTCCACATCTGAAATTCTAGTTTTATAGCTTAAAACTCACGGTTCTCCTGGCATTTCTAACGACACAATTATTCTCAGGGTTTGGGGTCTGTGCTAAAATGATTCTGTTTTTATCAAACAGCCATAATTCGAACTATACATTTTAACCAGGTTTTCCTTAAAGGAGAAGGCAACAAGCCACAACTGTGCACAGGACCCATTAGATGTCCTGCTTACCATAAGCATTTCAGTTTATTCTCTTTTTCTTTTAAGCCCTTCCAGAAGTAGAAGCCTCCCTATGCTGTATTTCTTAAATAGGTTATTTAGGTACAAGCCTGCAGGAATAACTTTTTGTTCTTGGGAACAGCAGAAACAATACATGTGTTGGCAGAGGAGGAGGCACTAACCAGTGTGTCAGGGTATTAGGGAATGCCAGAAACCTGTTGTTGGAGTAAATGACCTTCCTCATCAGATGCCCAGGAAGTTCTCCCTCAGATCCTGATGAGTGAGGTAGGTGCCCACTAGGAATCTTACTGACAGAGTCAGAATGATATTTAGTGCCTTCATTTTACAATGGTACATCCACAGGTTGGTTACAACTCTGTTTAGAGAGAGTGGCAAGGTACCACTGAGGATAGTTGTGTGGAGCAAAAAGTATTTCTGCAAACCGTCTCCTCCACAAATTCTTATTCCTAAAGGACAAAAAAAATGTGTGCAAAGTGCAGGCATATACATGAGCCACTGGTGGAAGAGGTGAGGAATCTTGCTAATTATACAGATGTTCCAGCCACAAGATGAGATGCAATTTTACTGCATCATATTCACCACAGGAACACTATTTTTAATGAGCGTTCGTGCATATTCCCTTTTTGCATACATTTTGGCACAGGCTATGGCGAGTTTTGAACAGTATGTCCTGAAAAAATATTCCTGTTGGTTTGGATTGACCAAAGGTAAAAATATTGTCACTAACATTTGTAAAAATATTTGCTCTTTTTCTGCATTTTTCCACTGACATTTCCCACCCGGCTCTGTCACAGACCAGTCATCCAAGTCAGTGTGTCATTGGGCAAGTGGAGAAAGAAAACAAACTCTCTCCAATGTTGATCAAAAAACACCCATTCACTTTGATGCTTCCTTGGCTGTTTGTCTCATCCCGAGCCGGCTGGAAAGTCAGACCCATCTGACGTTGTTAGCAACAAGAGCAAAACAAAGCCAAACCCTCTCCCCCACGCAGGCAGGGAAACGTTTGCTCGCCTTTGGCTTTGTGGATCCCTCTCCCTGGAGCTCCACAGGTACAATGGCCAGCAGGAAACCAAAAAGGTTCCCCTCTCTCTGCGCGCTTATGATGACACAAGAGCAGTGGGATTCCCCCAGGAGACTGCTGGAAATGCCCTTTGAGATTTGAAACATGTGGGATTCTCCAAGCCTGTGCTGCTCCTGTTGCAGTGGCCCAAGGCACAGCAGCTCCTGCCAGGCTCCCCAGGGGCAGCTCAGCATCGTGTCACACACAGCTGAGAGCAGGACACCTTCTAGAGCCACAGAACAGCACAGGGTGCAGGTGGAAAGCCCAGGCTGAGGCTGACTAGGGATAGTTTCCTTTGAGTGTGAAGAGACCAAGGGACATGCTGAAGGCTGGATTTTCAGTTAAACCACAGATGAGCCTCTAGTTTGAGGTGTGATGGTGCCCTTGGTTCAAATAAACCATTAGTATGAGCAGTTCAATAGTTAATGACTTTACGAGTTCAGACAGGTTGGTATCTGACCATCAACATCTCTTGCCTGCACTTTGTTGTCAGGGTAAAATACAGGCATAGGTCTTTCCAGACTAACAGCTGCGCTCCCAGCTGACTGTTTCTGAAATCCTTCCCCTCAACAGTACCAACATTTGGACAGAGGGCAGAAGCTCTCCCTCATCCACCTCAGTTGTGGGCAGACAGACACATAACAATCCTGGCAGGAAAAATGAGAGCCCAGCCCTGCCCTTTGTAGCAGATGAGATGCCACTCAGACTAATAGAAATTGTATCTCTGTCAGACTGAAGATATTATGACAGGTGTTTGTAGGAAACCAGGCTAAATGATCAAATATTCTTTTTGGCCTTTCCAAATCTATGAATTCATTGCAAGGCAAGCTCTTCAAACTGGCAACATTTCCTTCATAAAAAGGCATGTACAGCATTCTTTAGGCCCACAGCATCAGTTATTCACTTTAGGCAAACAAGTACATTCATGAACAAAAATGTTCACAATATCACAAACACTGTAAAAACAGTTGACGTTTTGACTAATATAACGTGTCTCAAAGCTTTCGTGTGCATAGCTCAAAATCCAGTGACTCAGGTCCAACTTCTGTTTGGTATTTATGGCTCACTCACCCAAAAGCCTGGGAAAGTGCTTTACAAAGCCAGGACTGTCTTTAGAAGGGTGTTGAGCAGCAGGACATCAAGTCCCTGTTGTGGTCACAAACCCTTTTAAGGGGGAGCTGAAGGTGGCCATCGGGCAGCCGGGTGCTGCTCAAGCCTCCGTCTCCTCCCTCCTGGAAAAGGAGGGCAAGCAAACAGATCCCAGTGCTAGGAAGCACACACCACAGGGCACAAGGCTTGCTACAAGGTATTGAAGGTCATTTATCTTGAACATCTATGCAGGGAACATGGCAAAATAAAGCTTATGGATGTGAGCCTGAGAGAAATGAACTTTGGTACTTTTACACTGGAATCATGAAATAGTTTGTGAAGCACTTTGCAAAAGAAATATCCATTACTCTCAGAGCCTCCACCTCTGTAAGCAATGGCCAAAGCAAGAATTTCAAAGGGATTTAAGTGCAGAAGAGACACACAGGTATGCAGTGGGATTTCTAACAGCAGCTAAGCAGGCTGGATATGTAACTCCTACTGTAGTTGGTAGGAACCTGTATATTTTCCAAAAGTACCCATGTAGTTCTGGGGCAGATTGTTAATCAAGGCATCACCCTCAATTTATTAACCTGAAGCTTCAGAAAACATGAAGACTGTATAGCTGCCCTCAGCATCAGAGCTCGATTCTGCCCTTCTGTCTGCACCTTCAGAAGCTGAAATACCTCATCCCAGAGTTGCATCTCCTATTTCATTGGACCCAGCACTCGCACTGCAGAGTGAATCCCAACCCCTTTGAAGTCGATGGGAGTTTTGTTACTGGAGAGAATAAAACCAGGTACTTGACCAGCCTTTAGTAATTGAAATGTAGTTGCTACATGTTCACTTTGTGGCCATTATGGATTTCACAGGCTTCAAAGGCAGTGAATGATTTGAATGCTCATGTTACCAGCCCTGCAGAAAAATCAGATCTCCCATGATGCATTCCTGGGTTTGACTTGCAGCTGGAATGCTTTAGCTTGTGCTTCAAACTACACCACTGCTGCACCCAGATCAAACCTAAGCCCCTCTCCAGACCCCTTTTCCCATTCATTGGAGTCTGTTTGCATGTTGTGGGTTGAAATGTGTAATTCTAGTAACTAAGAAAGGCTTAGGCCCACCCAACCCGTGAAGCAGATGTGCCTCTTTTTTGGAGCTTTTACAAGTACCAGCATGATTGTTCTAGGGATGGTGCAGTACAGAAGGGAAGAGTTTGTTTTAATGATGTGCCCCAGCAGCATGACAGTACCTGCAACAGCATCTAGGAAGGTACTGACAATAGCTTTGAGTATTTTTTTTGGTAACTTATAGATAAGTCAGTTGATAACTGTATTCATTTATCAGCAAGTAGCAAGGGAACTTCAGCATGGAAACCCCGTAGCTCTCCAAGAGCAGAGCTGGATCTAGTTATCTCCTTCAGACCACTCCTAAAAGCCACTGCAGCCTGCAAAACTTCTGACAAATCTTGAACTTGCTAAGCAAGGCACAGCTCTTCACAGGCACTTGAGTAGCTGCAGGAGGCATTTTGCATACCCCAGTGGGTTCTTGCTCAGCTAAGTGATGCACTAATGAACAGTGACTCAATGCTGAACAGAAACAGCTTTATATGAAGCGTCAG